TGCTTATAACCATATTTCGCGTACCTATCAGTCCCCATAAACTCCTTTGCGGCAATCCCAACAAGCCCGTGAAGCCTTAGCTATCAAACAAATTGCATCAAGACTGCGCCTGCTTATGAGGGCGGCAAGAGACAGACAAGCCAACTCCTGCTATTGAGAATTTCTAGACCCAAGAGTAACCTATAGGAATAAAAAGGGTGCCCTTGTTGGTTAAAGGAGCGTATGAGGGAACCTAAACCCTAAATAGAGGGAATAAGGGCCTACTCTGGGTCCTAGTTCTTGCGGATGGGCAACAGAAGCATCAACCAAAACTAGCACTTGGAGGTTCACGGCACTTAGCAACCCAACTATAACTGTACTGATAACCCACATACAACCCTCTTAGGCTACTTAAGGGGCTTATAAGCATGTTATAACTACCCTTATAAACGGGTTATAAGTACCCTGAACTTCCAAGTACATGACGTGAGTCCTCGGCTGCTGGGAGTACGAGAGAGGCAGGCAACATGACCAAACACCCCAGCGCAGCCCGACAAAAAGACACACCAGAACAGGAAACCTAAACCCTAAACCCTAAACCCTAAACCCTAAACCCTAAACCCTAAACCCAAAACCCAAAACCCGAAACCCTTTGCCAAACTGTCCGACCTTCTGATCTGCCTTCCGCTTGCGCCGGGCGCCTACGGCCCAGCCATCCTCAACACTGAGACATGAGTTGTGATAATTTGTAAGGTTTAGGGTTTAGGGTTTAGGGTTTAGGGTATAGGGTATAGGGTTTAGGGTTTATGGTTTAGCTTCTGCAGGGCTTTGCGTTTGAAGCCGACGCTATCAAGCCGAAGTCTGCAAGAGATTTTTAAGTTTATAAGTAGGGTAACCGTGTTTATGACCTGATATAGGGTTTAGGGTTTAGGGTTTAGGGTTGAGGGTTTAGGAGACTTCTAACCTTACTTACTTGCAAGCCCAGTAGCCATATTGCAATGAGGGCACCTGTTTTTTGGCTTGGTTGCTAAGGGAGCCCAGAACCAATCAAAAAGGGTGAAGGGCTCCACTGGGCTACCCAGCTTCCCCTAAACCCTAAACCCTAAACCCCAGACCCTAGACCCTAAACCCTAAACCCTAGACCCTAAACCCTAAACCCTAGACCCTAAACCCTAAACCCCAGACCCTAGACCCTAAACCCTAAACCCGAAACCCCAGACCCTAGACCCTAAACCCTAAACCCCATGAACCTGCAAGTAGGAGGCTTCCAGGGGGTCGCGGGTGTGAGGAGCTTAGGGTGCGGCCTCAGGCTCCAGGATGTAGGGAGGGTCTACGGCGTAGTGCGGCATGTGGGGCTTAGGGTTTAGGGTTTAGGGTTTAGGGTTTAGGGTTTAGGGTTTAGGGTTTAGGGTTTAGGGTTTAGGGTTTAGGGTTTAGGGTTTGGGGTTTGGGGTTTGGGGTTTGGGGTTTAGGGTGGGTTGAAGGCATAAGGTTTTGAAGGTTTCGGGTTTTGGTGGCAAAACGGGGGCCTTTAGGGCTTCCGGAACATTTTTATACAGCTTACACTTACAGGGCTTCTAGCCCTAAACCCTAAACCCTAAACCCTAAACCCTAAACCCTAAACCCTAAACCCTAAACCCTAAACCCTAAACCCTAAACCCTAAACCCCCCAAAAACCCGGCTTCTAGGGTTCATGGCCTGCAGGTAGGGATTAGGGCTAAGGCTCAGACATGACGGGGCTCCCAGTATAGGATCTTGCAGGGCTTTGTAGGAGGCACGGTTTAGGGCTTAGGGTTTAGGGTTTAGGGTTTAGGATTTAGGATTTAGGGTTCAGGATTTAGGATTTAGGGTTTAGGGTTTAGGATTTAGGGTTTAGGGTTTAGGGTTTAGGATTTAGGATTTAGGGTTTAGGGTTTAGGGTTTAGGGTTTAGGGTTTAGGATTTAGGATTTAGGGTTAGGAGAAGTTTTTCTTGAGCTGGAAGCCGAAAACCGTAAGCCCTAAAGCCCAAAGCACTGAGGGCCATGCCCCAAAATTCGTGGCGTAGGCTGGATCCTTTGGGCACAAGGCTTCTGGGGATGTAGAGTTTGGGGTTTTGGGGCTTCAAGGGCTGTGGATTTCGGCTTAAGGGTCGGGGGATTTTAGAGGACAGTTGCCAATCAAGGGAGCCAGGCTAAGAAAACCCTGTTCTAAATCCCCATGCCCCAGGCAGACCCTAAGCTTTAAAGTGTGGGCGCTGTTTCTCCATCGGTGGTTCCCTTGGTAGCTCAGCAACCATGTTACAGTATAGGGGTTGCCTACGTTGTAAAGGAACCTAAGCCCTAAACCCTAAACCCTAGCCTAACGGACAGGTACCCTAAAGCCTAAACTTTAAACCCTAAAGCCCAAACCCTGGAAAAAAACGCAGAAGAAGCTTCCTTCGTTCAGGAGTCTGGGTCATCCCTGAAAAGAGGCAGCAGGGTTTAGGGTTTAGGGTTTAGGGTTTAGGGCTACTACCTAGTTCCCACATCCCTCCAAGCCCCTAAATCCTCTCCGTCCTGTAGAAGGGTTTAGGGTTTAGGGTTCAGGGTTTAGGGTTTAGGGTTTAGGGTTCTTGAACCCTAAAACCCATGCTGTAGGGGCTTAGGGTTTTAGGGTCTAGGCCGAGCCTTACAAGCTTAGGGCGCCCACCATCTTCGAAAGAGCTGCCCATCTTATAGCGGCACAGCTTAGTGGCCTCTAAAGGAATTTAGGGTTTAGGGTTTAGGGTTTAGGGTTTAGGGTTTAGGGTTTAGGGTTTAGGGTTTAGGGTTTAGGGTTTAGGGTTTAGGGTCAAGAAGGCTTCCCACCAACCTGCCTGGACTCTGGGCCCTTCAGGGAATTCTTTCCCAGGACTCTATTTGCCGACAGTTTAGTAATAACTACCCTTAATCAGTAGGCGTAACCCATAAAACTGAGGTAAAGAGGGTCCCAGGTTAACGGATTCGATCAAGCGGGTCGTCCTCCGGAAGTGATACCTACCGCCCATCACAAACACCCATCCAGCATTCTTGTAGAACAGCATCACGTGCCCACAGGATTCTCCTTAGGGTTTAGGAATTCCTTCTTTGGGTACATAAGTTTCTTGTGATATTCGCAGAAAAAAGCTCAAGCACCCTAAAATGGAACGATAGTGAATGGTGCACAACATGTTATGCGTCGTAGTTGTTTCCCTTCATGTTTTTCAAAAAGGCAATATTCGGACGAAAAACGGTGGAAGTTGCTTGTTTGGATCTTATATCAGTTGGGAAGATCGTACTCGGGGGCATATTAAGAAGGGGCGGCGACCCTAAACCCTAAACCCCCAGCCTCTTCGTGGGCATCTGAGGATGTCTGCATAGAAGCCGACGGCTCGCAGAATCGGGCCTGGGGAGCGTTGACTTGCCGGTTGTCCGGGTTTAGGGTTTAGGGCTTGAGGTTTAGGGTTTAGGGGTTAGGGGCTTAGGATTCAGGATTTAGGGCCTGAGGCTTAGGATTTGTGAGTTTTTGGTTTAGGGTTTAGGGTTCAGGGCTTCCCCACCTAGAGCAACCGCGTCGGGGTTTGGGAACTTGAAGAAAACAGGGTGCTCGCAGCTTGGCCCGAAGACATGCTCGACCATGCGAAGCCAAACCATGGTGCCTACGCCCCAGAGCAACATACCCCAAACCTAAGCCCTAAGCCCTATAATCCCTATAAGCCCTAAGCCCTAAGCCCTAAACCCTAAACCCTAAACCCTAAACCCTAAACCCTAAACCCTAACCCCAAACGAACAATGTGTGGCTGATTGGGCAAGCTGACCCGAGAAAAGTGACAATAACGGCCCTGTCAGTCTCAGGCCCCTAGCAACTAAAAACTCGCAAACCCAAACCAAACCCTAAACCCAAAGTCATTGACCGCCCCGAGTCCCACTGTCCATCCACAAGGGGCTGTGCAAACACCAAAGCCTAAAGACTAGACGGGTTTAGGGTTTAGGGCTTAAGGTTTGAGGTTTAGGGCATGCCCACACCTGAAACCCAAGCTGCAGTTGGAGTTGGGCGGGTTGGTGAGCAGTGGGTCTCAGGGACGAGGCAAAGGATCTAATGGCTCCTCGGTCTGCTTCTCATCGTCGGCAGCAGCGGCCCCTTAAACCCCAAGACTCAAAAAACCTGAAATCCCAAAAGCACTCAGCCCCAAGGCGTGCCAGGAGCCGAGGTTCGGGCCCACTTTGGAGCCGGATCTGTGCGAGGCTTTTCAAGCTCCCCTCTGTAGACCCTGGGAGCTTAAGGTTCAGGGTTTAGGGTTTAGGGTTTTAGGGTTTAGGGTTTAGGGTTTAGGGGTTTAGGGGTTTAGGGGTTTAGGGGTTTAGGGTTTAGGGTTTAGGGTTTAGGGTTTAGGGTTTAGGGTTTAGGGTTTAGGGCACCCAAAAAAAACAAATTGAAGAACATGAATCCTATGTTGTCCGAATAAGGAAGAGCTTCTTCTTATGTTTTGTTTTTTTGGGGGGGAATCTTAAGCAAAAGGTTAGGGGGACAGTTTCAGAAGCTTCCAGGACTTACCGTTTAAACATGATGGCTTGCGGGGGGGGGGGGGGGGACCACCGTAACTATAACCTACAAACCCTAAACCCTAAACCCTAAACCCCAAACCCCAAACCCTAGACCCTAGACCCTAAACCCTAAACCCTAAACCTAGGCTTGGGCCACAAGGGGGCTCCGGAGATTAGGCCCGCGCCTAAGGTCTCCATCCTCCCCTGGTCAGTTCTCTAAACTCTGGTCCCTCATTTTACTCTTTGCTTAAGGACCCCTTATCTTACTGGCCCACAACCCAAGGAAATGAAAGTTGAAACTTTCAGAATAGACTACCTTATAGGAAGCCCAACAGTTGAAAGTTGGGTTTTGACCCAGTAAGTTATTCAAGTCAATACGTAATATCCCCACATTACCCTTATAAGAAAGAAGATCTTTTTGTGGGTTCTTGAGCCAATAGTAGTTTTTTGGCACCCTAAACATTGGGGCCCACCTGATAGCAACGATGCCCGCCCTCCGTCAGAGGTACCAGAATTTAGAGAAGTCACCATCTGCCTACTCGTCGAGTTTTGGAATTTGCGGCTCGGGAGAGTTAAGGAATGACGGGATGCTGTGCATAGGGTTTAGGGTTTAGGGTTTGGGGTTTAGGGTTAGTTGGAGGGAGTTTCGGGATTTGCGGATCTGAGGAAGTAGGGTGATACGGTGGTCTAGGGGTTTCAGGGTTTAGCATAGCCGGGGTGGACCCTAAACCCTAAACCCTAAACCCTAAACTTCGATGTTAAAAGGAGCTCAGGGCTCAAGACAATAACCGCGAAACGCACGCTGCCTCATCTCGGGTGGTGGATTGTTCTGCAGCGGCAGAGGACTCGCCTGGAGGACCACATGCATGTAGCCCCCTGCTTCCAGTTTCCTATAGGGGCAGCCTTTGAACAGCCTACCACGCCCTAAAGCACCCAACCCCCCCTAGACGCCAGAAAGAATGACCCCCGAAACCCGCACCAATCCTCCCAAAACCGCCCTAAACCCTAAACCCGAAACCCTAAACCCTCATGGGTTCCAGCCTGACTCTGCCGGAAGTCGTCCGCTCTCTGTAGGCGTAGGGCTTCTGCCTGCAAGGTACAACTCGAAGGACCGAGTCAAGGGGCTTGGGGGTTCTGGGTTTCGGGTTGAGGGAAAGGGGGTTAAGGGGTTTGGGGGTTTAGGGTTTCGGGTTCAGGGATTAGGGTGGGGTTTAGGTTTATGGTTTGGGGTTTAGGGTTTGGTTAGGGTTTAGGGATGGAGGGCTGGGCAGCTGGAGGGCTGGGCAGCTGGGGGGGCTGGCTGTCTGAAGGGCTGGTGGGGGTAGACTCTCGCCTCAAACCTGCCTTTCTAGACCACTCTGCCGACTTTCGAAGCGTCCCAGACTCTCGTGGAACTTTGGACCATGCTTCGCAGAAGTTGTGACCTTACCCGATTATAAAGTAGGTGATGAGCATGCCCTACTTGCTACTTATCACCCCTTCACTTCTGGGTACCCTTCTGAGTACCCATTCTCAGGGAAATCACATGGTCCCTTGATATGGGCCCCTAAAGGGGGACCCCTTACATACCCTTTCTTTACCCTCTACAAACCAGGGCCCCATACTTCAGAACCCTTCAAGGAAGGCAAGGGGACCATATTAAGGGCCCATGAAACTACCCTCAGACCCATGAACCTCCAAGTATACGTGTGCGAAACGGCCGAAGGCTTTCCTCCTTGCCCTTCGTGTAGTTCAGCTGCTGCACGACTTCGCGCAGCTCTTTGCCAGCTGTGCCTGAGCTATGGGCTCGGGGCTCCAGAGACGAGCAATGCACGTTTAGGGTTTGAGGCTTAGGGGTCGATAAGCTGCCCTTCAATGGGGACCCATGTATACCCCGTATATACCCTCGACAAAACCAGGGCCGTTTCTTCAGAACCCGTTTAAGGGAGGTAAGGGACCATATTGAGGGGACATGTAACGACCCCTAGACCCTCCTGCACCAAATGCCCAACGAAGCCTACATGACCAGAACCCAACTCAGAAAGCTGACCAGGTTTCGTGGTAGGAAAAGTGATCGTCGCCTTCTTGGAGCTGCAGTACTGCTGCTACCCTGAGCCCTAAACTCTAAACCCTAACCCCTAAACGCTAAAGCCTAAACCCTAAACCCTAAACCCTATGCACCCTGAAGCCCTGCACCCTCAACGATAAACCCTCAACCCCAGACCCATCGCTGTGGGCTGAGGCGCCTGATGCCAGCACGGCCTTGACAGACCTGCAGGTCACGAAAGGAGCTCACAAGTTTCCGGACAGGGTTTAGGGCGCAAGGTCTAGCCCTAAACCCTAAACCCTAAACCCCAAACCCCAAACCCTAAACCCTAAACCTGCAAGGGGCACCTTTCGGGAGCCTTTGAAAAGGAACCCAAAGCACCCAACAAACGAGGCATCTGAAGGTACATGAGCTACACCTCGGAATCACAACGCAAAGCTCTACAAACTTTCCAACCCCGCATGAAACCTTCAGGTCTGTGTTCAGGGATTACGATTTAGGGTTTAGGGTTTAGGGTTCCCTGCCTAGAGAGCGCAACAAAAGAGTAGTATGCATTTTTTATGTGGGTGTACACATATATATATATATACTATAGTGCAATATCATATGAGATAATATAACATAAAAATGTAATATGTTATGATATACTTATATATATATATTATATGTATATGTATGTATATATATATATAAATAGATTTTTGCAGCCCTCTACTCCACACCCTGCATCTCACACCCTAACTACCCAGGAGCAGTTGAAAGGCTCTAAAAAACAGAACCCCTGACAGTCGCTGGACAACCGAGCTATCAAAACCAGGCCGATATCGAGGCGTGGGCTGCTTGGCACCACAGAGTTTGCCTAGCTCGGGTCGAGGCTTAGGGCTTTGGGGGCTTCAAGTTCGCTTCCAGAAGCCCTGGTTACCCTAAACCCTCAACCCTAAATCCTAGAACCCCGAAACCCTAAACCCTAAAAACCCTAACACCCGAAACAAGAAAGGGCCGCCAGGGCATAGGGCTGGGGCGCAGGCTGAGGTGGTGTTTAAGCTTGGGGCCCTCCAAGTGCGGAGAGTCAGGACTTTGCTTTAAGGACCGTGCGCAAAGATGCAGGACATAACTTGGGGACTAGGTTTCAGGGGCACCTAGATTTGGTTTGGGGTTTAGGGTTTAGGGTTTAGGGTTTAGGGCTTAGGGTGTAGGGTTTAGGGTTTAGGGGTTAGGGTTTAGGGTTTCTTGTCAACATCCTGCATTGTGGGTCAGCACCCCAAAGCCTAAACGTTAACACTTAAACCCTATATCAGCCCGAAGCTGATCAAATTCCAGGCAATCAGACCATTGACTTGTTTGGGTTTTAGGGTTTAGGGTTTAGGGTTTAGGGTTTAGGGTTTAGGGTTTAGGGTTTAGGGTTTAGGGTTTAGGGTATAGGGTATAGGGTATAGGGTATAGGGTTTAGGGTTTAGGGTTTAGGGTTTAGGGTTTAGGGTTTAGGGTCTAGGGTCTAGGGTCTGTCAACTCTTGAGCTCAACCCTACTTGGAGGTTCATGGGTACTTATTATTAGGGGTTAAGGTTTAGGGATAAGGGGTAGTTATAACCCCAATGAATTAGAAGTCTAATCATATAACCTACTTAGAGGACTTAGGGACCTTATAAGTGCAGGTATAGTTGGGGGCAGATGTACCCATGAACCTCCAAGTAGACCCTCAACGCGAGCCCCAACTTACTGTCGGTTGGTAGGGCTAAGGTTTACCGTTTAGGGCTCAGCGTAGCACGAACGGTACATTCACCTCCGTTGCTTCCCGCTTTAGCTTCAGACCTGAAACCCCAAACCCTAAACACTACTAACCCATAGTATTCCTTAGTTGCTGAGGTCATAGTTCTATAGAGGATTGAAGCACCCCCAAAAAGTGCAAAGTGTAACTCATTCAACTACTAAGATTCACGCAAGCCCAGAGCCCTGACACTCGAGGCGCAGGCAATCGAACTTCTGCTTCTTGTTCCTCTGCACTGCCTGGTGCGTCTGACCTGGAGCACAGTCATCAGGGCTGCCGGCGTCGTGTCAAGCCCTAAACCCGAAACCCTAAACCCTAAACCCTAGACCCGAAACCCTAAACCCTAAACCTCATCAAAACTTCGGAGTCGAGAAGGGCTTACAACGTCGAGGCTCTGAAGCCCCGACGGGGCAAACTTGGTACGGGTTAGGGTCTAGGGCTTAGGGTTCAGTGTTTAGGGTTTACGGTTTAGCCAAACTTGGTAGCCCGGTAACCATATACTAGAATAAGGGCACCCAAATGAGGGCACCCATGCTTGGGTTAGATATAAGGGAACCCACCAGAACCCAATAAAAGGGTAGAGGACACCACTCGGCCACTAAGCAAAAAATATATTTCTGAATTGGCCAGCCGGCCTCGTAAAGCTTAGTGTGTTAGGTTTCCCCCCCCGACATTCTGGCCGCGTGTTTTGCGGGTATTAAACAGGCTTTCGCTTGTTTAGGCCTCAAGGCTTTGAAGGGTTTAGGGCTTAGTACTTCCGACTCAACCTCACTCCCTTTGCCGAAAATGCACCAACCGCACCCACCCCCCCCCCACCCCCACCCCCCCACCCCCACTGCAAAAAGGTGACTGCGCCAAGTTGGGCTCCGGGGATTTGGGATTGGGATTCGGGTGGCTGCATCGTTCTGTCCAACCGGTACGCAGCTGTGCCTTCCCTGAGCCGGTAGAAACCTTGGCTACAGCTGCAGTACTGGTTATGACGAACACCCAAAAACCCTACTCCCCCCTTGGGGACGCTGTGGCATCGCTTAAGTCAAGCGGCAAGAGTAGCACCGCACCACAATGTGCTCCGGCATGGTGCTCGGTAAGCTAAAGCAGCTGAGCTCTGAACCCTAGAACGGCCCTTACAAGCCCTAAAGCCTGACTCTGGACTTTGTAAACCCAAGTCCAAGGTCCCATTGTCTCGAAACCTAAACTACCTAAATGGGTGTAGGTTCGCCCTGCTGTAAACCCTGACAACAAATCCGCATCGACATGTTCTCAGCATGCTCTGCAGTGGCGAACCTGTGAGCCCGCAGTAAGTCGCAGAAAGTGATAAAGGTTCAGGTTTCGGTTTATGGGACGGCCTAACCCTTTGAAACCCTAAACCACCACAACCGAAACCTTACTAACCCCCCCAAAGCCCAAAGCCTAAACCTCAAGACTCAAAAACCCCAAACCCAATATTGTTGGCAGTGGGGTTGGGGGACATATGACGTTTCCGAACCGCCTTCCTACCAGTGTTTTCACATCCTAATCCTATCTCTAAAATGGGTATCCCGGCCGCCCTCACCTCCCCAACACAAAAGTGTAGGTTTCAAGGCATCAGGTGCTTCTTCTGGCGTTTTGGTGATTTACGGCTCATGGTTTGGGGGGCTTGGAGAATGTCTTGGGAAATTGGGGGGGGGGGGGGTTAGGGCCTAAACCCTAAACCCTAAACCCTAAACCCTAAACCCTAAACCCTAAACCCTAAACCCTAAACCCTAAACCCTAAACCCTAAACCCTAAACCCTAAACCCTAAACCCTAGGGTTCAGGGATTGGGCTTCTGGGGTTGGGGGTTTAGGGTTCAGGGAGTAGGGTTGGCTTAGGGGTTTTCCGAACAACCTCTAGAAATCCCGAAGGCTGCATCGACTCTTAGGGTTTAGGGTTTAGGGTTTAGGGTTTGGGGTTTAGGGTTTAGGGTTTAGGGTTTGGGGTTTGGGGTTTAGGGTTTAGGGTTTAGGGCTTAGATAACATACGATTGGGCTCAACCGGTCTGGCCCCCAAATTTGCGAACGAAGCGCAATTGGGTCTCCAGAGATTTCTAGGCTTTGTTGGGGCTTATGGGCACAAATAGGGCTTACAGTGTTATAGGGCCTGTAGAGTTTTGAGTGGCTCTACACCCTACACCCTACCACCCTAAACTCTACTGAGGCCACCCCCCACCCGCCTGCGGAGAGCGAAACACCGAGCATGCTCAGCAACATGCGCCTGGATAAGCACCGCGGTGGGCCCAAAACCCTAAAAACCGAGAACGCGCAGGGCAAATACATGGGGACGTTCCCACTTATACAAACAGTCCTTAATTGGGATTACAATCGGGAGGGTACTGTCATCCCCATTAAGGACTGCTAGTCTCAGGGAGAACATCCCAAGAAATACAGCAACAACTCAAGCCCCAGCGCCCTAAACCCAGAACCAGATCCACACCCTCCCAAACACCCGACACCTTTGAGCTCTACATAGGTTTCGCGATAGCGTAGCCAGGACTCTTGAAGCTTCTTGCCTGCCGGGCTGTGTAAAAAGGCCACAACCCTTACCTACACGCCTAGAATATCATGGTATCCCTAAGCCCTGCATCCTAAAATCTAAACCTACAAACTCTATGCTAAGCCCTTAAACCCGAAGTCGAAGTCACAACACCTGAAACCCGCAAATCCCTAGACGCTCGACCCCAAAATCCCTGAATCGCTCACTGAAACCCCTAAATGCCTCAGCCCCCAACACCTGAACCCCAAACCTAGCCCCTAAACCGCCTAAACCCGCAACCCGAAACCCCTAAACTTGAGATGTTCATCCGTATACCAACAGTCCTTAATAGGGATTACAATGGTGGTACTACAATCCCGATTAAGGACTGTTAGCAATAAAAGGGGGAGCATCCCAACCCTAAACCCTAAACCCTAAACCCTAAACCCTCAAGTGCTGAACCCTACAGCGCCCTGATTGCCTGTTGCCGGGCTTGCTCATCTCGGCGCGGCATTCTACAACCTCACAGGGCTTAGCAGGGTTTAGGGTTTAGGGTTTCGGGTTCGGGTTTCGGGTTAGGGTTTAGGTTAACCTAGGGAATAAACAAGGGTGCCCTTTTTTAGAGTAGAGGGGCCATACCCCCCCAGAAGAGGAATAGGCGCATCTCGCTGGCAAGGTATTGGGGCGTAGTCGCATCGTCAAAGAACCTAGGGGTTTGAAGGGGAACGAAGCGCCAATCCCTAAACCCTAAACCCTAAACCCTAAACCCTAAACCCTAAACCCTAAACCCTAAACCCTAAACCCTAAACCCTAAACCCAAAGTTCATCTGCTTAGGAGGTTTGAGGGTCTGCCTTTTCGCGGCCCGCTGGCTGAAGCAATCCCTGGAACAAGAGCCCGAGTCTGACGTTTAGAGTTCAGAGAGTTCAGAGTTCAGAGTTCAGGGTTTAGGGTTTAGGGTTTGGGGTTTAGGGTTTAGGGTTTAGGGTTTAGGGTTTATGGTCCCGAACCTTGTGGCTTTCAAGGGCTCCCTGTTGATGCACTCCAAATACGGCCCATGCTGCCTAAGGGTTTAGGCTTTCGGGGGGTCTGTGGCTCCACACCTTAAGCCCCTAAAGCCTAAACCCCTAACCCCCTAACCCCCTAACCCCCTAAACCCCTAAACCCTAAACCCCTAAACCCTAAACCCTAAACCCTAAACCCTAAACCCTAAACCCTAAACCCTAAACCCTAAACCCTAAACCCTAAACCCTAACCCTAAACCCTAAACCCTAACCCCTAAACCCCCGTCTGAGCCCAGCACAACAGACTCTCGCGTGACGCCCGAGAGATCGGTCATGACAAAAGGGCGCTCAGTGGCAGCTTCCTGAGGGTGGGATTTCAAGACTCGTGGACCACGGTTTAGGGTTTAGGGTTTAGGGTTTAGGGTTTAGGGTTTAGGGTTTAGGGTTTAGGGTTTAGGGTTTAGGGTTTAGGGTTTAGGGTTTAGGGTTTAGGGACTTGAAACCTGTCACCCTATCAACCTAAAGAGAATACAAGCACAACCCCCCCTGAACCCTAAACCCTATACCCTGTACCCTGAACCCTGAACCCTGAACCCTAAACCCTAAACCCTAAACCCTAAACCCTAAACCCTGAACCCTGAACCCTGAACCCTAAACCCTAAACCCTGAAATACCCCACATATATTCTTCTCCCTCTTGATGCGAGGCACTTCGATTCGGCGGTTCCGTCCCTTGCTTGGGCGGTCTGGGTACAGGAACACCTGGCGACGGCTTAGGGTTTAATTAGGGTTTAATTAAGGTTTAATTAGGGTTTACTCAGGGTTTAATTAGGGTTTAACTAGGGTTTAATTAGAGTTAATTAGGGTTTGATTCGGGTTCAATTAGGGTTTAAGTAGGGTTTAATTCGGGTTTACTTAAGGTTTCATTAGGGTTTGTTTAGGGTTCAATTAGGGGTTTGATTAGGGTTCAATTAGGGTTTTAGGGTTCAGGGTTCAGGGTTTAGGGTTCAGGGTTCAGGGTTTAGGGTTGACGGTTTAATAAGGGTTTATAGGGTTTAGGGTTCAGGGTTGAGGGTTCAGGGTTTAGGGTTTACGGCTTAGGGTTTCGGGTTTGACCATGATGGAGATGGATCCAAACTCAGGGGCCTCAGTGAGTCTCTACTATAATCAACTATAGCGGCACATGCAGAGAGCGTCATTGGAGCTCTCCAAGTGCTGACGGAAGCGCCAGACAACCAACCAACACACACACACACACACAGACACACACACACACACACACACACACACACACACACACATATGAGCTTGCGATCCCAAAACGCATCTCCGCACACGCACAGGAACCCTAAACCCTAAGCTCTAAACCCTAAACCCTGATCAATTAACCCTGAACACTAAACCCTAAACCCTAATTAAACCCTAAACCCTAAACTCATGCACCTCCACGTATCTATCCTCCATGCCCTGAAGGTGGAGCTCGTCACGCGCGTACATCGCTGCCTGGCTGCAAGGACCCTAAGACCCTCCGTAAGATCTACTCTGCTGAATAGGGTTTAGGGTTTAGGGTTTAGGGTTAAGTTTGGGGTTTATAGGGTAGGGTTTGGGATTTGGGATTTGGGGTTTAGGGTTTAGGGTTTAGGGTTTAGGGTTTAGGGTTTAGGGTTTAGGGTTTAGGGTTGTCTACAGGGCTGACAGCCTAGGCTTTAGAGCGCCCCAGCCATCTGTAAGTCTTCAGTTCCCGGCTCGTCATGTCCCTTTCTCCGCAGGAGTCACATCTCAGCAAAACCCGAAACCCTAAACCCTAAACCCTAAACCCTAAGCCCAGAGCTTTATAACTCAGCAACCCCCTAAAATAACAATCATCCCGACTCCCCTATGCCTATGCCCTACCGAACCGGAAAAACAAAAAAAGAACGCATACCCAAGCTTCGAGACGATTTAAAAGCGTTTAGTTTGGGGTTCGTTCTGGTTTGTCTGGGAAAAGGAACACACCCTAAACCCGAAACTTTAAACCTTAAACCCTAAACCCAAACCCTAACTTTTTCTGGGAAACAGTGGCTTCGCTCGGACGCAGCTGTTCCACAACAGAGCTGCTGTCGCCACCACCCTCGCCTTAGTCTGGGTTGCGTGCTTAGGATTTTGGGGTTAAGGATTTCGGGCTTCGGGCTTAGGATTGTGAAGGTTTCTAGTCTAGGGTTTGTATAAGGTGTATACATTTCCTGGTAGTTATGGGGCTTAGTAATCCACGGTCTTGGCTCGCTTCGAATCGACATTCGAAGCCTGGGAGTTTGAGCGTGTAGGTCGGTGCATGCTTTAGGTTTAGGGGATCTATACATACATACATACATACATACATACATACATACATACATACATATATACATATGTACATATATACATATATACATATATACATATATACATATATACATATATACATATATACATATATACATATATACATATACATATATAACATATATATATATATAGTGTCGCACGCAGAACAGCCCAAATACAAAAAAAACTTCCCATGACTCAACCGGCCGCTGCTTCCCCAGGTCACCACGAAGCCATCGTCGC